TACATACCTTGTGGGTTTGCGCTCACTGCCGTGATGCATAGCCTCTAAATCTATATGAGTAAATGGTTCGGCTTTTAAGATTCTGCATGGTCTTCCTTTTACTCCATGCACCATCTGCATCGTGTACATGCTTTTCCCGGCTTGCATTCAGCATTCCTCGCTGTATTCGTTTGCTTTCTGGGTTTATAGGCAAATTATTAATTGTACTGCAATTTGTAGTAGATTTGTGGATAACGGTCTATATGTTATGCTGGCTAAAGGATCTAATGTTAGTTACAAAGTATGACTGTCTTGCTGTGTTTATTGTCCTTTGTAGTGTTCTTTTTTGTTATAAAGATCTGCGCTAGCGATACATATTGCTTCTGAACCTACATCTTCACAGCAGGCTTCTAAAAAGTGACCTTTTCTCTCTCCCATGGACCCCTTGAAATTGTACCAAGCAGAAATCCAAAGAAAACCTGAAATCGTTAACACTCAATTATGTCATTTAGAAAATGCTTTGATCTTAAGTAGTTTAAAGTATAAGGACCAGTGTTTTACCTACAATCCCAATGTGGCTCTTAGATACTTAATAAAGTGCAGAGGAATATGGAGTTCAGGGAAAGTTTATTCTTTGAAGAAACGTGGGCAGTGATAATCCCTTGCTTAAAAACAAAAAAAAATATTTGAAAATATATGAGGTAAGGCTGTAACACTAAATATTTCACTAATACTTCTTACAAAAAGAATACTGCTGCTAAATGCTCCTGTTGCTAAGAAATTTCATCCTATAATATTACAATAAAAAACAAGGTAAAAAGACAGACTTTACTAAAAATTAACACTTTTGTAATTTATGTGAAGCATTTTAAGTCTGCCTTTAGCAGCACTTGTGAAACAAGTGAATAGCTTGTTTTGTCATGCTATTCATGCATCTGAGACCCTTGTAGTGCTGCTGCTGCTGCTTTTCTAAATAGGTCTCCCAAAGTACTTTTATTTAATAACTTTGTTAGATGTTTAGGGAGGAAATGGTAGAACTGAATTTTTAGAACAATTGTGTCTGAGGTCAAGTGTTTGGTTAGAATTTCTACTTACTGTTTCGTCAAGAGTGTGTTCCATTTTGAATCATTAGTCTCCTCTGTGCATAGATGTTTGTCTACTTTTTCGCAGAATCCAGATTTTAGTCATCAAGCATTTTCTCATGAGATTTAGTTTTTGATTTAATTTTTTTTCTGGAGGTGGACCCACACTGAGAGGGAGTGAGTGGAGAAGAATTTCAGGAGTAAATTATAAAGTAAACTTTTTAATTGGGATTTATCAATGAATAAAGATCTACCTTTGACTTAAACTGCAGAAGTTACTTGACCTCGACAAAAATAGAGCCACATGAATAAAGGCATGCTTAGAATTGCCCTTCAAAGGCTACAAATCTTCTGAAGTTTTTTAATATAGTGAGCTAGTAGCAGGGCTGAGTGCTTCCGTAATGTCTTACCCGTCGGGTTTAGTATGAGGTTTGTCCTCCAGGTCATTTCTTTGCTAATCTTGCTAGATGTAGGTTTTAACCTCTTCCTGCTTTTCTCCAGCCAGCATAGCCAGTCTGCTGCCTTAAGCCTCTAGCTGTATTTTACCTCTTTTTCTCTCTTCTGTACCTTTTTTCTGCTTGACAAAAGTTCTTAACCTTTTTTTTTTTTAATTTGTTTTTTTTTTGTGTGTGTGGTAATACCAATGAGTAGCTAACAACTACACCCTTTATAATAATCTCAGAAGTATACAGACACGTGGAAAAGAGAAATTAAACACATACAATTTGTCTAACAAGTGAATCTGAGTGGTCCCATTAAATAAAATATGGAAAGGTAGGGGTGGTTAGTTATTTCAGTTTTACTGACTCTTAATATAGTGGTGCCATCGCCAGGCCTCCTCATGGAGCTCTCCTTTGGGTGAGTTGCTCTTTGTATGCACCAGCTTATTAGTAAACAGAATAAACTAGAAATATAAAAAAGTGTGGGTATTTCTGTGATAGAAAGAAAAGATTAGTTGAACTAGACTGTTAGTAAATACAGTTGTCTAATAAATCAGCAAGTATGCTGTTGGCCTGAGCATAAAAGGTTGGAAAAAATTTAATTGTATAGAAGTGATAAAGGGACGTGTCCTCCTTTAGCAGAGCAGAGAAGCTGCTGTGTTTGAAAAGAAGCTTAATCTGGAAGCAGCCCGTATCCTAAAGATGCTGTATTGCTGTTCGGGAGGTCATCTTACAGGAACACAGACGTGGTGAAAGTGCAACTTTGCCTCTGCATTGCTTCAAGGTCAATTAATGGAGAGAGAATACCCAGCTGCGTAGTCATTCTCAAATTGTACAAAAAAACCAACTCAGTTGAGACTTGTGACTGTGAAAGGGAAATGTAATTAATGCTAATGCAAAAATCAAGTATTTATGAAACACTAGGCAGAAATACACACAAAACTGTTCATAATTCAGGAAGTAGGGATGCAGAAATAGAGATATTAGGTTGTGTCTTCAGGAAGCGTTCTTTTGAATGTCTCTAAAATGCATGACTTGGCAAGTCTATGTATAGTTACAAATAAGACGGATTTGTTGGCTGATTAGGAGACACTGAACCTAAATTATCAGTAAAAACAAACATTTTAGCCTAATAGCTGACAAGGTAACTCGTGTGTGATGAACCATTTTAAAACCCAGGTGCCGACTTGGCCTGCAACAAGAGCCGTGCAGGGGCGTGCGAGAGCGCGGGAAGGTACGGAGGGAGAAGGAGTCCTGCTGCCCCCCCTTTGCTGATCCGATCTGCTTTTGCTCCTACTACACAATTTCAGAGCAATAGTTTTTTTTCAGAGTAATAGTTTTACGGGGCTGCTCCAGGCCTGCAGTGCAGAAGGTGAGGAATTCTCTTGGGGCTGGGCTCTGCAGTGCTTTGGGTGTTTTGTCCAAGGGATCTGTCAATGCAGCCTTTCACAGTGCAGCAGGAAGCCGCTGCTGTCACAGGAGCACTTCGATGAACCGGAGGGAGCTTAAAAACTTCGGTCCCCTCTCGTAGTAGTCTGGGCTGCAGTGGTTGCAGTCGCACAGAACTAGCTTGGGTCCGTCTAAATTAATGGCCTAAATGATGTTAGCCAAGTCTCTGCAGCGAATGCAAGCGTCAAACTGGGGATCAAGTTCTGAGGGGGGTTTGGCAAGTGACGCTCAGGTGGGAACTGATCCCCTGCGCAGGGAAGATGCTGCCTTACATAACTGACATCTTAGGCAATTCTGAAATCTTAGTCTTTTCAATGTCTAATAATCTCTGATTTGCCAAGTGTTGATGTTAATGAACTTCAAATTAAAAATTATTTTACTACCTTTAACTGATGGTTTTGTTTACTTTAGCTGCTTTTATGAGAAAGGTTAAATAACACCAGTGTTTTGTCTGCATGCATTGTTCCCTGCTTTATCTACTTCTGTTATGCTCACTAAATTCACCTCCTTTCCAAACAAAATAATGTTAATCTTCTAAATCTCTCCTTGTATGGATGACTATCTCTGGTTTTAATCTGTTTATGACATTCTCTGGTGCTTTTCTGGTTTTGATATATCTTTTTTTAGATGGATGCTGTTAGTGAGCACATCATTTCTAGAGAGGTCATGCCATAGATTTATGTAATGATATAATATTTTAAATCTGCATTAAAAAGAGATGGTTCTTAACATCTTTCTTTGGTTTACTGTGTCCCTTTGACTAATCATTGTTAGGGGTTTTTTTGGCAGGAGTTTTAAATCTTGCGAGTGAATAAAACTCATAGTAAAAATATTTGTCTAGAGCACATGTTCATGTCTTCTGGTGTTTTTTCTGACTTCTGTCTGGGCATTGGAGAGCCTTTTGAAGCCATTTACTTCACAGAACCACAGAATGTTCGAGGTCCGAAGGGTACTTGAAAGATCATCTAGTCTAACTCCCCTGGCAGAGCAGGGTCACCCAGGGTAGGTCATGCACCTTAGGGTGCTGTGTGTGGCTTGTGCTGCTTCTTGAGGCAGTGGCCTTCTTCAGGTCTTTCCCACTGCCTTTGAAAGCTGCTCTTATTCGAGTTACTTAGCTAGACCCTGGTCTTGCCTTTTTTCCTCCCCTTCCTCTTTTCATCCCCTCTCTCCAAACTTCTCCAGATTTGTCCTCTTGTTACTTAGGGTAGATAATTTCTTTTTCATGGGTTCTCATAATGGAGAAAACTTACATTTTGCTTTTTTTGGGGATAGCAGGCTTTCTAGTGATATGTTTCTGCAAGACCACGTTGGTAAAAGCTCATTTTTTGTGGATTCCGAAAGATAAAGGACAGTGGGTGCTTGATGACGTGCTTTAGGACAACTTACATCTCTCTGTTAACGTGTGGGCTGCTCTGCCTGCAGTTTCAGCATCTACAGTAGGTTTTTTTCCAAAGCTCTGCCACATATTGCATTCTCTCAGGAGACACAAAGGAAGATGCTTTGTAAGCTGTACAGATATTTGGCTGTTCCAGGTTATCAGTCAGTCTCCAGGCATTGAAATGACTCACTGAGAACTATGGAAGAAGAAGTAATTGAATATATATTATTACTTAACTAGAAAGGTGCCTTCCAGTCAATAGAATATCAGACAAGGTGGAGGATAGACTGGTAAATAGATTGGCGCATGTGTTTAAGATAAAAAACCGTGTGGGAAAAAGTGCCCTCCAAGTGCTACCAGGAAAAAAGTGTCACCAGGAAAATTATGTAAGTGCATCCTGTCTTGTTTATTCCTAAAGTTATCGTGGTGTGTTTGAGCCATGGATTTTAAAAGTGTGATAGTAGTACAAAGATGCTAATAAAACCAGATAAAATTATAAACTTCTTCTACAAAAACCTTGGCCATGCTTCCGGAGGAGAAGAGATGAGAAAATTAACCTGCCTAAATGTAACTGTAATTCTCTGGACACAGGAATGCACATGTACACTGTTTGTACATGTACACTGTTGGTTTAAACCAATGTTAATAATTTTTTTTTCCCTCTAGGTGTATCTGAACCTTCTTTTATTGCTAAAAGTGAAGATCGTTTGTTTAAACATTTGTTTGAAGACTATCAAAGATGGGTTCGTCCAGTGCAACACTTGAATGACACAATAAAAATCAAGTTTGGCCTTGCAATCTCTCAGCTAGTGGATGTGGTACGTATAGTAAATGGTTCTTTTCCCTCTCAATTCTTAAAATTCTGGAATGTAATGTCATATGAAATAATAGTGCGTATTTTATCTTAAACACAATAGATTAAAGCTCTAGAATTATTATCAGCATAATAGAAAATGCGTTGTAGGTAGGGGCATGAAGAAGTGGTTGCCAAGAGGTTGAGAAGACAAATGGCTCTTACTCTTAGTGGTGTTTTCGGGGGAAAAAAAAAAGAGTGAAATTCTTAAGCCTGTACAATTGTGATTTAGTTTATTTATTCAATGGGAAAACCACATATTTTTGAATGTTATCAGTCTAACTTCTGTAAAATTCAGGAACGCTTGCAAGTGCTGCTCTTTTTCCCTCTTAAGCAGCAAAAAACACTCTAAGCCCTCAAATACGCCACTTCCATAGTAATGAAGATTATCTCTTGTGATAGAAAAGATATCAACCAGATATTTTTTTTCCCTGATATTTACTTACTTCAGAATATTATTTTAAAATTGGATTCACTGTTTATAGCTGTAAGAGGAGTTTTTCTTACACATCTTGGCTGTTTATGCTTCCATAGGAAATCTGCGTAAAATACAGTCAAATAATAAAATGGAAAGGAGGAAAGAGACGCAGGGGGGAAAAATACAACTTGTAACAGTTAAATTATCAAAGGTCATAACTGTATCTTTAAAAAGTTCTCATATAAACATAGTTATCAGTGATCGTAATGCTTTTAGAAGTGTGCTTTGTATTATTTTAAATTATTAGCGTCTGTGAACTAAAGCAGCTAGTTACTGGGAATGTGCATTTTTTTTTTTTCCATAAAATACGCTTTATTTTTACAGGATGAGAAAAATCAGTTGATGACAACAAATGTCTGGTTGAAACAGGTATGTGTAAAATATCGATGAAAAATTCTGAAGCAACGTAACTGCAAGTTAAGTGGGGAGAAATTTTTCTAATTAATTTTATATTTAAAAAAACCGTAGTTGCACGAATTCTTGTTTTACATAGTGTTTTTAAAAAAAGTCCCTGGGAAGGCTTTAAAGGATTAATTGTTGTAAAACTCTTAAAAATCAATCCTAAACAAATAAAAAAGTTAAATTTAGAAAATATGCCTAATTAAAAGAAGTCTGATATGACATTGCATGGCCATTTAATATACCAAGGTGGGTGTATCCAACCATGGAAGTTGCTGCTTCTTTACACAAGTTTTCTTTCAAAAACTATATTAAGAAAAATATGAGTTTGTGTACTCTTTTGTATAATAGTTTTAAGGTCTTTCTCTTGTGAGGTCTTTGAGATTATTGGATAAACATCACTGAAGAACTTCAGTTTCTAAGTTGTATATGCTTTCTATAAAGAGCTAGGTTTTTGTCTTAAGAATATTTGTTTATGGGCAAGAAAAAGCCTGAAGCTTCATAATAATCGGTCTACGCTAGAATTTATGGCTGCTATTAACTTGAGAGACGCTGCTCACAAATCATTTTTGATTTAACTTAGAAGAATGTCTGCATGCGGACCCTGATTATACTTACTGGATTACTAAATTATTTTCCTTTGGGCTACTTACTTTTTTTTCTTCTTTTTTCTTCTTCCTTTTTTCTTCATTTTTTTTCTTCTTCTTTCTTCTTCTTATTTTTCTTCTTTTTTTTTTTCTTCTTCTTTTTTTCCTTCTTGTTTCTTCCCATTCCCTTCTTTTCCAGTAGCTGTGATTTGAGACAGTTTTTCTTTTCAGGAAAACTTTGACACTACTCAGCAAGAATGAGCTGGCAATATGTCAGTAACACTTTGTGCCCTCTTAACAGTTTCGGCAGAACTTGTTGTATTTGAAGCAGTTCAAATAAAATAAGAACTGTCCTGAATATGCATTAAAAATTCTGTGATGATTCTTAGAAACTTGAATTTTTCCTTTTCAGCTTTTAGTTCAAAATTACCAAAGTACTACTGTGCTATTCATGATGTGTGTGTATATATATATATAGATATAATAACGCTATTTTTAGTGTTGCTGATAGAAATAGGAACAACTATCATGTGAGACTTGCAGCATGAATTTTTTTTTTGGTGATGAAACTGTTTAAATTGCTTCTGATCAGCTTCCAAAGTCATTGATACTCATTCAGAACAGACTTTTTTCAAATTTAATTGTATGAACATTATAATAGCTTTTACTTACATATGTATACATGCTCTGAAAAAAGATTTTAATATCTTAAGTTCTGTACAGAAATGCTGTCAAGTGCCTATTATACAGAAAAACATATTTTTTGAGGTAAATAGATTTCTCTTCAAATTCACTGTTGTGGGCAAATTTTGGATACTTTTTTTTAATTTTTAAATTACCATTCTATCTGTTTTCATCCAATCTTGCCCTGCTTAAATCAACTTCACAATAATGATTTTTATGTCTTGATATCCCCAGGAATGGATAGATGTTAAGTTAAGGTGGAATCCTGAAGACTATGCTGGAATAACATCTATTCGCGTCCCATCAGATTCTATCTGGATTCCAGATATCGTGTTGTATGACAAGTAAGATTTTAATTTTTTCACATCAAGTAATTTTACTTTCTAACTTTAACTGCTACTAGGAGGTTCGTTGGGTGGATGGGTGTGTGTACAATTAGTAGAGTTAAGAATGTGTGGAAGCATTTGCCCCTGAATGCAAATGGATTTTGTTGCTGTTAAATGCTTGGATGTTTTGGTTTGCTTCTGTGTGGAATTTCCTGTCACTTTGAAAAGTTTTATTTCTAGTTCTTCATATAACTCTTCTTTTAATTAGAAAATAGTGTCTTGCACAGCCCTGGGTACAAACTAGCAGTGTGGAGTGATGGGAGGGAAGCAACTAAATCAAGTCGTACTTAGCATGGATTTAAAATGAAGTACACTCAATTGTAAGGGGTGGTTTTCTTGTTTGTTTTTTGTTATTTTGTGGTTTGTTTATTTTTTAGAATTAACAGATCTCAGAAGCAATTGAATTAACCTTTCTGCTCAACTCAGGTGCACATACAGTGCTTTTACATTTCCTGATTTGTTGAGTCAGAAGAAAAGGCTGTTGCAGTGGTTGTGAATTCAAGTATTAATCTACCTCTTCTGTGCCTTTTTTTCTTCAATAAATATGATTTGGCCAAATTCTATTTGCGATACAGTCAATTCAAACACAAGAGTTTGGTCATGCTGTTAAAGGTTGGGATTTTTACAATCCTTTCGTAAGTCGTTGGGACCACAGCAAGTTGCACAGATCTTTTCATGGCTTGAAAATATTATTCACTCTTCCAAAGCTGTTTACACGTGTGAGATTCAGATATAGAAAAAAAAGAAAAAAAATTGTCTATGAACACAATGCAAAATTTTGGCTATGAAGGAGGAAGAAAGGATAAATAGCTGAAATGACAATAGCAAAACATATTTTCTTATTTAAAAGCGCCCACCCCTCACACCGATTGTAATTGCATGCATGTATCTCTCTTCTTTCAGTGCAGACGGACGTTTTGAGGGAACATCTACAAAAACTGTGGTAAAATACGATGGCACCATTGCTTGGACTCCACCAGCAAACTACAAAAGTTCTTGTACTATTGATGTAACCTTCTTCCCCTTTGACCTCCAAAACTGCTCTATGAAATTTGGTTCCTGGACTTACGATGGCTCACAGGTTGATATAATACTTGAAGATTATGATGTTGACAAAAGAGACTTTTTTGATAATGGAGAGTGGGAAATAGTGACTGCAACAGGAAGCAAAGGCAATAGGACCGATGGATGCTGCTGGTATCCTTTCGTTACATATTCATTCATAATTAGACGTTTGCCACTTTTTTACACGTTGTTTCTCATTATTCCTTGTATTGGGCTTTCATTTCTAACTGTCCTTGTCTTCTATCTTCCTTCGAACGAAGGTGAAAAAATTTCACTTTGCACTTCAGTACTGGTGTCACTGACCGTTTTTCTTCTCGTTATTGAAGAGATTATTCCATCATCTTCCAAAGTTATCCCGCTTATAGGCGAGTACTTGGTGTTTACTATGATATTTGTGACATTGTCCATTGTGATAACTGTCTTTGCTATCAATATTCATCATCGCTCTTCGTCTACACACAATGCTATGGCACCTTGGGTTCGCAAGATATTTCTTCACAAACTTCCCAAGCTGCTTTGCATGAGAAGTCATGTAGATAGATACTTTGCTCAGAAGGAGGAAACGGGAAATACGAATGGATCAGAGTCGTCTAGGAACACCTTGGAAGCAGCTCTAGATTCTATCCGGTACATTACAAGACATGTTATGAAGGAGAACGAAGTTCGTGAGGTGGGTGTGTTTTGTCATATTACACGGATTTTGTAAAACTGAAAATGAGAAAACTGAGTAATGGTTTAATACGCAGTTGCATATTAAATATGCGCTAAGCAATTTCTGGTTTTTATACTTCACTGGAAGCTGTGTAGTTCTTTCCACTGGAAAGAAGTACAAGTATGGTGCAATACTGAGAATTCCTCTAGATGTTGGGCTGATACAGTACAGTCCTTGAGTTCTTGAGAGTCTTTTGCTTTCTCCTAGAAGTAAGATCACGTTGTTAATGACACATTTTCAGACGTACTTGTCTGTTACAAGAGCGTATACCATAACTGTTCTCTACAGTGCTACTGGATGTTGTTTTCATGATAAGAGAAGTAGGTATTTTTATTTTAGTCTTGTACCTCAGGGCTATCTAAAAAATGCATTTGCCTCTACATTTGCAGAATAAGTATTGCTAGGCCTTATTCTGAGGTTTTCAGTTCCAAATAAAAACAATTTTTAGTGCCTTAACTTACATTAGTTTAAATACAAGCTATAGCCATATGTTTGTCAATTTTGCTGTGATCAAACTTGGACTAGATGACTTCTTGAGTGTTGGCTTCTAGCCTTATTATTATTTGTCTCTAAGTTATATCAAAAGCTGTCAAAGGCTTTTCCTCAGTCTGTAGATTTGCCCCCTGAACTGTCCTTAATGTATGTTTGCACCATTTGGCTAGGAGCATTATGAATCTGTTTTCTTTCAGTGCTTTTTAAACTAACGCCATTGGTACATCAGACTTAAACGCTATTTTGAGGCTGTTGTAGAAATACAGGAGAGTGTTGTGTGGTCTCATGGTGCTGCTGTCTCTTCCTGCCGGCAAGGCCTGAGACTCTGTCAGTTCACGGAGAGCTGGCTGACTGCAGAAGTTGCTGGTTCTCACACACTAGCCTAGGAGTAGGCTAACACCTCTAGTGTACCTTCTCAGGACTCACCTCTGACTTTATCACAAGGAATCCAGCCTAGATTTTTGGATAAATGTATCTACTCTACTGGTAAAACAGCATCTAATACCCCTGCATTGTATAAACAACAGAAAAAGAGTAGTTTGCTATTAAATGTGTAATTTCCTGTAAATGAAGATTGGTTTTCTTTCTCTTCGTGAACTTACTCTATTTGACTGTGAGTGGCAAGAGAGGTGATAGGTATTTTATTCAGGTTTAATGTTGTTGTGACTCTTAAACCTCAGACATTAATGTACAGCTGACTCTCTGATTATAGTTTTGTTGTTTTTTACCATCCAGGCATTTTATCTTAACCGTACTCCAGAAAAAGCTGCAATTGCAGTTTAATATATCTGACTATTATCTAGGGCTGCATAAACAACAAGAGCAGTAAAGTGCATATAGCCCTCTGATGTCTGAGTTGTTTATAGTAGCAAATGTGATAATTCTCCATTAGTTAAATGTATTTTATTGTTTTCCAGAGAATGAAAGCTTTAATTGCAAAAGGTCCTAATGAAAACTACACGGCTCGTGCAGTTGTAGCCTTAGGAAGCAGTAGGTTTGAGAAATGTGGATAGCTCCAGTTCAAATCAAGGGTTTTAATTTGTTTGCACAGTTATATCCGCTGTACCTGCAAAACTGTGCATAGATAGAAATATTTCTAGCAAAAGAAAAGTCTTGAAAGTACTGTGAGTATTTTTCCTACTGTGTAAACTGGTGCAGCAGCAACTCCACAGCTTTCAGATCTTGTATGTAACACAACAACTGCTGCCTACTGTTAATTTTTTATTACTTTATTTTTAATTTTGATTTCCATGATTTGGTTGTGCTTTGTTTTTTGTACAACTTTTGCTTCTAGCTCCTTCCTGGGAATTCCACTTTATGATGAGACTGTGGCATGAATCCTAAATGCTGCAGTATGTAGGAGAATGGCATCATTTGTCTGTAGATGAGGATGTTCAGTGCTCTTCAGGGTTATTTTCTGCATTAAAATCTAGTGCTGGTCTATCTAGCTTACCAGTCTTCATAGAGGGAAGTTTCTTCCTGTTCTAGCTCATAGTGTAAGTATAAAAAATTATTAAAAGGGGTTACCAAATGGACCAGATTGGAAAAAAGAGTTCTGTAAAGTGATTAAGAATTGCATGGTTTGCTACAGTATTTTTACCTGTTTGTGCACATACTGACCAACTTGGATGCTTTTGGTTTGCAGGTTGTTGAAGACTGGAAATATATTGCTCAGGTGCTTGACCGAATGTTCTTATGGACTTTTCTTCTGGTTTCAATAATTGGATCTCTTGTGTTATTTATTCCTGTTATTCATAAATGGGCAAGTATAATAGTACCTACGCATATAGGCAGTACAAATGCATAAGATGTTTCTGGATCTGTCTCCTGCTAATATGGCTCTAGAGTTCTGCAGTAGCTCTGTTTCTTTGTAGATATGTTTCTGATAGAGTTAAAAAACGACCCCCAAACCGGAAAATTATGTTTGTATTAAAGCATGGCATCTCTAGGACACGTAGAAGTCAGTTTGCTTATTGCCAGTTTACTAAGGCACTTCTAGATCAGGTCAGAATTCAAAGGACCTTCTCAAGCGCTTGCATGTATGATATGTTAAAAAAGTGTGCACTGACACCCACCTTGGAATAGAAGGATTGAAATGTTTTTACTGTTGGTCACTGTAGTCCAATTATTAAATTACCATATAAATTGTTATATTGGGTATTAAATAATTGCAGATATTTACACAGTAGAGCTGCTTATTTCTATCTATTACATATGAAGGAGAATTTTTATTGATTCTCTTGAATATGTTGTAAAAATACAAAGTTTATGTGGAGTAAATTTAAAGTAATAATAAAAATACCAGTTAAACTTCCCATATGTTCAACATTTAAGTAAAAATAGTGATTCGGCTATGTTTTGCCTTTAAACGTTCAGTGCTAAATTTGCTGCTAAGTTTAAATCCTTGTTAATCCTATCATACTAACATGAATATTTAATTCAGTAAGCCTTAAAATACCTACAGGATACGTGTTTATTGATATCTCTGTAGCCACTATGGAAAGAAAGGCAAAGACAATTAAATAAGTTCCCGTATTGCACAAGTGTTCTAATGCACTGGAACATTCAGATTATTTTATTCTTGATGAAGAATAAAGTATTATGTTAGTTAAAAACATGTTAATAATTTCCTGTCTTTGTATGTGTCTCGGAAATAAGTTTTTAAGCACAGGTAGAAGGGATTTGGAGAATGCCTTTCTGAAGGAAGTGGTTTGGAAATTATTATGCTGTGTTACCCAAGTACAGGTGATTATGTTTTCACATGTTTGTTAAACCAAACTTAGAAATCTACTTTTAATAGATTTTCTCACTTAGAGATGTAGCTCTTAAGCTGCAAGGACTTAGTTTTCCATATTTTATTTTTTCCAAGTGTCAAAACTAAGTTGCAGCTTTTTAATTATGCCATTAAAATATGTTCTTTAAATACTGATTTTTTTTTTGCGTTCATTCAATGAATGCAGATCCCTTTCTTAAAATGGAATTAATCCATTTCTTAAAAACTTTATTTTTGGAAGAGACTGTAATAGTTGGGGTTTACTTACAATGAAGTTCTGTCAGTGTATTTCATAACATAATTGCACCCTACAGGGCTAGTACAGTAATGGCGAGCTAGAACAAATCCGGGGAAGTTTTTATGTGCTTAAATTACTACATTAATAATAAAGCTGTTAGGTGAAAAGTTTCACAAAAGTTGTACTGTCTTTCATAATGTAAGTTTTTAAGGTGATTATGAATTTGGAAAACAGATACCTATTTCCCCTCCACCTCTGTATCTCCTTTAGAATAACACTGTTTAGCACTGTACTGATAATAATTTTGGTTGCTGATGTCATAACTTTATATATAATAGAATATTTATTTAAAATTGTTCCTACTTGTAGGACGTTCTTGGGTTTGTGTCTTTTGAAGGCTCACAGGCAGGGTAGTGATGCCAGGCAAGCCATCTATTTATTTATTTATTTATTTGGTTAGTTAGTTTTATTGTTAACGTCGATTTATGAATAACTTTGTCTGCCATAGGATATCCACGTTTCCTCTACTCCCATCATAATTAATTTTAAAGGTGAATTTGCAGCAATCATCCTATTTAATCCATTAATATAATCATTTTAACTTTCTCAGTATTACTAAGATTAAACAACACATCAGTGACTTTCTTTGTGTGAAAGTTGCAGAAATACGTTAGATATCTTACTTCCTCTTCAAATGCAAAATTTCTTTTTATAGTCCTCCTCGGATTTGAAATACTGAGGTTTACTTTTACCTGAACAGAAAGCAAAGTCAAACTATAGATTACCTATATAGGTATTATCTTTTTTAACTCCCCACCTCATCTCTTTCCCCCTGTTAAATGATGTCTGTAGATTGCCCAGTTATATCATAAGGTGATTGGCAGCTTATCAGCCGTTGAAGTCCCAGTCTTTATACCAGGAACCCACAGTGTCTGCAAACACATCATTTTCTTCTAGTCACTTCTACAGTCTGATCATGCTAAACACAGATAAGGTAGCTGGCACTAGAATCCTTAGGGTCTTCAGTTCGTTGTGTGTGTCTGAAATAAAGTAGTTTTAATAGACTCAGAAGCATGAGCCTTATGTAACTTGTTTCTTAATGTGTTGAACTGTAGCTAATGCTACCTTATATAGGCTTCTGTCTCTCTGTCAAAATAAATGGGAAAAAAGCGCACAATTTTCAACAGCTTGATTCTCTTTATTTTCATAAATGTTACATCACTTGATACACTGTATTTCTGAAAAGTTTCCAGTGTCATATGGAGAGAACAGTTTGTATTTTTACAAAATATTTTCTCATTACAATATTCTATTGCATTCTTTATTCATGCTCTAAAATTATCTGCAGTTACTCATTGAAAAAAAAACAACAAACCAACATACACCTAAGAAGACATTTACAGGACTAATTTGTTTCTATCTGCCTTCCCTTGTCATGAAACACTTTGCTACAGCAGAATGCTTCTGTGTCCAAAGTGTCTTATCAAAGTATTTTTATCCTTTGCATAACCTGCAAACTGCATCTTGGTGTGTGTTTTACTTGTACACAGCTATAAACCTTGTTAGGCTTGAATAGCTTGCTTTTTCTGCCAGTCTTCTCAGACACTAAATACAAGGATGCACAGAGTTTGCATTATGGCTGCTTTATTACCATCATCTGTTATTTACCTATTTGCTTTCTTTTTTGTAATAAACCTGCCCATGGTCCTTTCCTCCTGCAGTTTGAGTCAGTTCATACACCAGGTGGCATTGTCTGCATTCCAGCCAGTTGGTGTGGATGCTTCATAAACCACTTTGTCTTCATGAGGGTCATAGACCTCAGTACGAACTTATTTCCAGAAGATCCTGTCATGGTCTGAAGAGACTTAGCACCAGACTTGTGGGAACAAATCTTGTAGCCCAAAGTATTCAACCTGTCCTGACTCTCTGAACATTTGTGTAATTTTCAGTTTCTTTATCAAACCCTTCTTAAACCAGATTTTAATGTACTACCTACATCTTTTGTTGCCAAAGTAGGCGTCAACCACAGGTCATTACTTTCAGATTAGGTGTCATAGTATTTTTTTTTTCACATTCTCACATTTTTAGCAAAACCTTCTTGGTCAAGCAAAGTTGAGGCCAAGAGAGTTCTTTATTCTACAATATATAGAAGAGACATCAGGTGCTGGGGTAGGGGCGAGAAGTTGGTTGGCAAAAGTTTTATTTGATTTCAGAACATACTCTTTAATCTTTACATTTCATCTCCAGCCATCAAAGGTTGTAAAAACAATCCTGCTGTTCCTAGAATACATACCAGGATGAAAACCCATAGAAAAATACGATCAATTACCATGGCAACGTATTTCCAGTCATCCTGAATCTGAAAAATAAATAACAAGTAGGCATGTTTGTTAGATGAATAACTTGCATTAGCAATTAGTACTGTTTTATATAGGAAGCGCAGTTTTGTTTGATGTGTAAGTGCTTTCATATACGCACAGATTAACTTATCTCTGTTTTCATTGACAAATTAATCTTGAAGAAGCTTTTTATTTGAATATGCTATTTGTGGCAAAGCCAGAACTACTACTTCAAATACAGGAAGTTGATCACCAAGACACTGGACTTCACGAGATACAACTTCGCTTCTGTACTCCAAAAATGAAAGGGAAAAGCTTTGCATTCTTCGGTGATCAGGTTTGTTGACAAAACTTTACTGAAACTGACTGTTCCTCCTGGCCTTTAGGCAGTATGTAAAAAGGCAGAGGTTAATTGATATATAATTGTTTGGTATGTATCTTATGTGGTACTGAAATTTGATCATTCTCATGCATGATGTGAAATTCATCTCCTTACCTTCCATGTACAGGGAAGCAAGTTTCAAAAAACCCAAACTTTTTCTAATTTTTTTTCTTTTTACATTGGGCATTATAACAAGAGTGACACTGAAGTATTATATATGTTATATATTAATAGTAACTACATTAGGTGACCATTTTTGTTACCCTTAAGATTTCTATTTTTTATTCCATTTTTCTTCAGGAAGGCCAATAAATGGATAATGCATTTTTCAGGGGTTTTTGACATTTTGTACTTTTTAGCTTAGAACATGTTTGTTAAGGCAGGATGAAAAAACCCCAGAACAACTCTATATTTTCTATACCAGCTAATTCTAAATAAAGTTCTAATTTCAGCATAAACAAAATACCTTCATTCTAAGTTCAAGTGTCATACTGCAGGGGATTTAAATTCAATGATGATTGTAGTGGTGTGGCTACTGCTTTTACTATGTTTGAGGAACATGATAAAAAGAAAACTTTATTTTTTTTATTGCATTAAGATGCAGTTCTATGACAGATGATGGTCCCTGTCTTGCAGCACTTGTCTTGTTTAGCTACAGCACTTCTCTCTACAGCAGCAGAATAAATGTCGTCGTCACTGTGAAGGACTGTCATTCTCACATCCTTTGTTACTGATGGTAAGATGTGGGTGAGAGAATGTAACTTTCTAGAGTCCATACAGTCAGCTAATCCTGCTATTACAATTAAAACTTGGAAAATTCACCCTCTAAATCGTGTAGGTCAGATACTTAAGTAGGTGTCCCGAGCAGTGGTTACCATAAGATACTTTGCTCAGTTTGTGTGTAGTCAGTTAAAGAAAGTTGTGCAAGACTATCTACATTCAAAATTGCACATATTCATAATACAGCTTGGGTAATTTACACATATAAAATAATGGTCTTTGTTGTCTTATTTTTGGGGTGGCTGTGGAATCTTTCTTCTTACAAAACACACTAATGGCAAATGGTGTCTGCAGTTTTGAGTGATAGTAAAATATTTTCTTACCTCTTTCGCTTCATTCTGCATTTTCATATTTTCTGCAATGTATTTAACACTTTCAATAGCATCCCTCATCTCTGGTGACAGAACCGAAAATGAAAGCAGAGGATCTACAGACTCAGAGCTTGAACTTCTTGTCAGATTGCCACTGAAATCTGAGAACTTCATTCGTTGGTAGTGACAACAGCTGCATGCCGTATCTTGACATACAAAGCCATCTTTGCAGCATTTGGTTTCGGAACCAAAATTTACATTTGAAAACTCAGAAGTGACAAATGGTTTTGGCTTCTGATTATTCTCTTCGTCACTGGCAGGCCTTGTCATAAACATAATCTTGGGAAGTAAGTTCAAGAAAATGGTTCTCACCCACACAGGCATTGTGTGTGTCTTGGGTGTTCTGTAGTGCACGTTAAGTACAAATACTGTGATGACAATAGACAGAGTGACAAATATCATGGTGAAAAGGAGGTACTCCCCAATAAGTGGAATTACCAGGGAGGTAGAAGGTATAGTTTCAGTGATAACAAGCAGAAACACTGTTAAGGACAGAAGGACCGATATGCAGAGTGTCACCTTCTCACCACAGTCTGAGGGCAAGTAGAAAACTAATACAGTCAGAAAAGAAATCAGCAGACATGGAATAATCATATTAATAGTGTAAAATAAAGGCAAACGCCTAATGTAAAGAGAGTATGTGATGTCTGGATATATCTCTTCACAGCAGTTGTATTTGATGTCGTGTTTATACCCAGGAGCTTTAATAATAGCCCATTCTCCACTCTCCCAGTAATCTTTCAAATTCATCGTAGAGCCAATTAAAACTAAATCAATTTTGGCTTTATCGTAAGACCAGGAACCAAACTTCATGGTGCAGTTCTGGTAGTCAAATGGGAAGTAAGTTACATCTATTTTACATGAGCTTTTAAATATAGCTGGAGGTATCCAGGTCACATCACCTGTGTATTTTAATAGCGCCTTTGTCTTGTCATCAACCTGGAAATCCCCAACTGCACTGTAAATCAAATAAAAATAACAAAAATGAGTATGTGACTACTCCAGGTAGTTTCATACATTCAGAACATATGCATTAACTCTTTAATCTGTTTTCAGAAAGTCAGCGGAGCTGAGTTGCACATGCAGGACTGAGACAGCAGCCAACATAAATTTGCATAGTTAAACTGAAATAAACATCTGTATAAATTTACTGTGGAAGATAATAATAACATACTGGTATTTCTACATCTTCTGTGGATGGTGCAAGTAGTAACTATGGAGAGGACGTGGTTCATGTAAAATCCATGTGACAATATCAGTTTATATGAAAAAGTACACCTAAAAAGGTAATTTAAAGTTTTAAGGCCAGAATTAGAAAAGGAGTATCATCTCTGTTGTTCCATAGACGTGAGTTTTGGATCCGTGTAGTGAAGTACTGCTTCCCTGTGTAGCAGAGGGATCCACTTAGTCTGCAGTTTGGCTCCTCACGGTCTCAAAGCGACAGCCGAAGTAAACTTTATCTGTGGCTTCTACATGACAACACTATCGTGATAAAGGTGTCAAATTGTGAGTTTAGCTGCTAAGAAACCAGAATTTGCAGGTTTTCGTCAGTTAAAGGTCTGACTCACAGACAAGAACTCTACAGTTCTTGTCATGTTCTTTGTAGACCGTGATAAAAACAACAGTAAAAGTGGGGACTTGTGAAGGGGAAAAGCAGAGTTAGGTTAGGAGCTGGCTCCTGCCCAGTAGTGCCAAAGAAGATGGCATGGAGCAACAGGGAGATGTGGGACACGTGTGTTGAAAAGCAGGCTTTTTCAGTTAATTCTGTGACTTTGCTGCTGATTTTTTCAAAACTAGTAACATCAACTCCCCCCCTCTTCTTCTAGAATTAAGAAGATAAATATGCAAGTCTTACTTGTTATATAAAACAATATCTGGCTTCCAGATCTGGCCAGATGGTACTCGGATGAATTCAGCACCTCCATAGTCGGCTGGATTCCACCGAAGCTTGTAATCATTCCAGATCTAATTACAGAAGAAACGAGGCCATGTTAGGTTTGTGAGGAAATTGAAATTCAGTGGACTGGACTCAACCCCTTTGCTGTCATGCCACTTTTAGGGTGGTTCTATTTCAGATACTGCAATGATGAGGTGTTTCTGTAACAAGCACACACGTCTCTTGTTTGTTCACATGGCGGTTGTGGGTGATTCTCTTCCTAGAAAGTCTATGGCTTTAATAATAGCTTAGGTCTCAAAAAGCCAGGTGCAGTGATGGAAGCCAGTGACAAGGTGAAAACAGATTCCTGGGAGGCTCTGGCGCTAGGTGGGAGCTCTCAGGGAAGGGCCCTGGGTAGAGGGGTTAGAAAGAGTTGCAGGTGTCATTGCTCCGTTGAGTAACGGCCTTGTTCATTAGGGCTCATTAAACCCTAGTTTAACTAAGTTAATTATTAAGATATAGCTGGGAATGGAGTTGGCTATTCAGCTGACTGCAGCAGTGAAAAATCGCGGGGTTTAGCCCGTGAAAGGCCCGTGGTAGCGAAACCAGCGCCGAGTGATGCTGTGCTGATGCGCTGCGCGGGCGTTTCCCCTGCGGCGGGGCCTGCCCGGGCCAGAGGCGGGGCTGGGCGGCCATATGGACTGCAGGAGGGTTCGGGCTGCAGGTGACGGCTCACCCCCCGA